TAATTCCTACAAAACAACCCCGGGGTCAAGTGGTCAAGGCATTTACTGGAAGCTGAAATGCTGAAATATCATGAAAACAATACACATTATGTGCTGTAATTTTTTTTCAGATTCACTACGCCCTCATTTATTTAAACCTCAGTCTTGAGATCGACTAGTCTACTCACCAGGAACAAAATGCTGATTATTATTATGATGAAAAGATGAACACCATTGATTGTACATGCTGAATATATTTTGAGGGAATCAGTGTGCAGAAGTTCAGATAATTGAGATAATATTAAAAAATACTCACACAACTTGTAATATTTTTCACTGGTAATTTAGACGGACACAACAGTATGCATGTTTCACATTTAAAAACTTAATTACCTGTTAAAGCACAGGAGCTAAGGGAGTAGAAAACAGCTGGATTAAAATTGAATAATTATGCATCTTCCTAATTATTCATGTAATTGGAAGCTAATTTGTCATCAAAACCTATTCTCTCCTAATAAAAAATCCATTTAAATAAATGCAGTAGACTCCCTGTAAACACAGTGCAGACAGACACACTGTGTAATGTAGAGGGACTGTCTTGTAGACTGTGTGTTTATGGCAGGAGGTTTGCAAAAAGCCTCCCTCAGTGTTTACCAGTGAGGGCAGATGTCAGGGTTTGCTGTGGAGGAGCAGACACAGCCACATCTGATTAACAATATTATTGTCCTCCTCCACACCGCCATAAAGACTCATCCTCCCCCCCTTTTTCTTTCTCTCTTTCTATTTCAGGCTCTGGCAGTGTGCTGTCCTGTGGCATGGCTGAGCCAGAGTGACACTGCCACCATCCACAGAAACAAAACACGAGTCAAGAGCCAGAAGGTTAAGACAAACAGCACGACTGTGTTTCTCCAGACAGAAAACAGAAACATATCTCGGGATACATGGATTAAAATAATATTGCTGTATATTCAAATACACTGTGCATCATTTGTACTGTTTTTTTTTTTTTTTAGCAATTATGAAATATATCTAAATTGAATTCAGAACAAATCATTAGCAACAACTGAAACACCCGGGGGGGGGAATTTACTTACATCTCAGCTTCAAAAAAAGACATCAGAGTATAAATCATGAGTCCCGTGGGAGTGTCTGTGTGTTCATACGCGCAGGTACAGTAAACCTGCGCTTCAGCCTGAGTGTAAATTTGTGTGTTTGATTCTAACCCTCTCAACGCTGCGCTATACATTTTGATTGGTGATTTTTTTTTTCCCTTCTCTCCGTTGCCAAACTGTCACAAAAGCAGTAACCCCGCACGTTTCCAAGCTGCTTATTGAAGACAAACAATAAAACCACTGGCAGATATCAATGGCAGAGATGAGAACCCGGGTGCCATATCTGCTGGGACTGCCTGGCGAACCTGCCTCTGTCTGCGCTTCATCTCCAGCAGCACCTCTCACTCTCAATTATTTGGCTGCTGTCACAACAAATCAATCAAATTACCGCTCCAGGACTGTGTGCAGCTGCTCCTATTGCACCGCTAGTTGCATTAGCTTTGAAATGTATGAGGTCTACATTTTATCACTGTTATTTATTTAATGCAGCTCTATCCCCTGTGAGTCATCTTACAACCACAGCAAAGTTAAATCATTAAAGGACGACGTGGAATACATACTGCCGGAGAACACCTCAAATTAAACAGCGATAAGGGAGGAGGGATGGGTTTGGCCTCTATTGTGTTAAAATGGCCGGTGTTGATGTGAGGAAATGTAGAACGCTTGCTCTGAGTCCTCTTAATGCACTCCTCTGTTGGCTGAACGTGCACACAAACAATGGCTTATTTATTTTGTCATCCCAAAATGATTCGACAAATTCACACATGAGAAAAAGAAAAAAAACGCTCACAACGAGCAACTAGTGTGGCTGTAAGAAACACCAAAAAAGGATGTTTGAAATCCTATCCATAATGTAATGGGTAAAGGGACACAGAGGCATAGCCACAGCAGACAGAGGTTAAGTCAGTGGCCCGGCCCGGTGATCTAACCTCCTAAAGGAGCAGCAGCCAGCTGAGGCAGAAGAGATGCAGTCTGACATGCCTTACTAGTGTGGAAACCTTTGTCCCCCCCCCCCCCCCGAGGAGCCCACCCTTTGGTGGTGTAATGAGCAGAGTGATTTCCCTAATTTGTATCGCACCAACACTCACAACCTGCGAACGACACCGCTGAACATTTTCATCAGAACGGCAGACAAGCCTTTGATTGGCACTGACACCGGGTCTCATTACTGCAGGTGAGTGGGATGCCGACCTTTATCAGGAAGCCTGAGTGCTGTTTTGTGTTTCCTGCGGACGAGTACAGAGGAACAATGCTCTCACCTCACCATTAGAGCTCAGCTCTCTGATGTGGTGCGCTGCCTGGCTTTCTGCTCACAGCAAATAAGATGGGATATGCTTATTAATATGAAAGAGCGCCAGTAAACTAGCTTCTTGCATTACCTTTGAGTGAGTCTTAGAGAAGAAGAGTAGACAGATGAGACTTTGTTCTGCTTCTTCCCATTGGGCATTACACGGTACAGTGCTTTGATACAACTAGTTTTACAAGTGTGGTAATCATGTTTCGCTTGTTATAAAATCATGTGAAATAAAAGCCTATTAAAAATGCATCAGAAAGTTAGCACCATATCAAACGATCTGTACGTGTTCTGTCTGCATCAGTCGTACATACTTATGTTTGAAATTGTGAAAATCACGTATGTTTTTTTATTCATATGAGCCGTCACATTTACAGACCTCTAGCATGACCCAACCTAGTTTTTTCCCTCTGTGAAGTCAGCGAGAATTGTGTGCACTCTGTCACAAAAGATAACTTTCTCCCTTGTTTAGTTTCATTGGGAATTTGTTTTTACTGCATGTTTGCAGGCATAAATCATTCTGACAAATAACCAGTTACACTGGTGCCTGTGTTTACTGAGTCTGCCACAAGACGCTGCTCAGTTTTATTTAAGCAACTGCTCCAAATTTATAGCACAACCCCATTACAGTGATAGTTATTCATCACAGTCGGAGGGAGCTGCCCTCCTAAAGCTCACAGCGGTGCAGCCGGTCCCCTCTTGTCAACACGATGCTTACAGAGCTTTGATTAGTGCGATCAAACGTGTGATCAAAGATGCTGTTGTTAGTTCATCTGATTTGATCTTTTCATTGAAACAGAATATGAAAATGTACAAAATGAACAAACTGGACTGACTAGAAATATTCTAATATAACTTATTAAACATTACATTCTCATAAAGACTATGACTATACAAGCATGCCGGCTCTCATGTAAAGAATTCAATTCCTCCACCCTCAGCCGCCCATTGCCCCAGACAAACAGCCTTATTAGTTGGTCATTAGCTGCCTCATTACATTTAAATACAGCCATTGGCTGGGCTCCTCCTGGAGTCTCATTATTGTGCCTCACAGTTGTCTTGTGTCTGATCTGACGCTAATTAGCTAACAGCGTGAGCGCTGTAAAGCACACTTGCTCCTGAGGTCGTGAAATGAGCCCGACTGCTCCCTGGCGACAGTGTGCCGCTGTATTATGTGTGTGATTAATCAGGCCTGGAGACCCTGGAGGGGCGGGGGAGGGGAAGTGAGGGGGGGATGCGGGGGCAGAGGCCAGAGTTGCAGTTGTCTGACAGAGGTGCTGTGCCAGCAGGCCTCATTCAGCGGAGCTGTGATGAGCTCAGACAGGGCAGAGTGGAGGAGCGTCGCGTGGCCAGAGGGGCTCGGACACAGTCAAGACATTTAGCTTCACTCGTGACTTGTGTCACTTTCTCTCCATGGAGGTCCCTTCAATGCATACCCTTTAGATAAGAGGACGTGCGAACAGGCAGTCTGTCAGTCCACACGCTTAAAAAAAGATCTGCCACAGAGGCATTTCTCAACAGTTTTTTTTTTTTTTTGCTTTTGCTATCGCTCATGGATGGGGAATTTTATCAGGACATTGGATTCCCGGGCTGTCTGTTGGTTTGTTTGTCAGTGGACAATAAGGATGACTGAGAGGTGTTTGTTTTTGGCGTTCTGACACCCTGACAATGTGTTTGTCGATCAGTTCATCAGATCACTGAAGCCTCTGGGTTGTTCCTCGTGCACCGGGAGGAAGATCTGTTGAAGTGTGAGTCAGACGGGCCTGCTGGGCCCATTATCGTCCACTACTGATGGATACATTGGAGGGCTCGCTGGATAGATGCGGGTTTATTAAAAGCTCTGCCCATAGCGATGGCTGCTGTTATTTATGCATGTTTGTGTCCATTAGGCTTCTACCTCCACATTTCCTCACTCAGGGCATCTGTCCATCCATTTCCCCACATGAGGGGAGCTTTCCCTGCACTTTGTGCTGCACTGGCATTATTGTAATCTCCGTCCCAAAAACACACTGCTTTACATGTAGCCTGGCATCTTTTTACATTAGTGCAGCTCTCTCATCCAAGATTTATGACTGATGGTTTCCCCATCCATCCCTCAATCTAATGGTATAAAAGAGACAATGTTTTAAACATTAAAATGAAAACCATTTACAACTATGATCAAAAGAGAACACTTGGGCATTAAAGTTTAAAAGGCAAGGATAAGTACAGCCATGTGGATGGACAGTTGAGGTGGAAAAAAAGATAAGAAAGTGAAGTACAGTGCACTCTTATGTACAGGAAAGAGGCATAAAGTGCTTTTGCGCTGCACTGCAAAACGTTGACCTGTAATTAATACGGTTGTTCCTTCGGGAAAGTTGAGGATAGCGGCTTTTTGGGATACAAACCCCTGAAGGATTCTTACCTGGTGAAGAGCTTTGTAAAACATTTTTATTGAAGAAAAAACAAAAAACGTGTCTATGTCATACAGTGGATGTATAGCAAGCTGCTGTGGGATCATTACTTGTTGTATTTATTACTAATCATACTTTCCACTTTCTTCCGGGGATGTCACGTTGACCCTGTTTTTGTCATAAGAACGAGTCGCTGCTTGTCGACACTGCCCTCTTTCTTACCTTGCAGGTTCTGGAGAGGGAGCGTCATGATGCCCCCTGCAGCAGCAGCAGCCACCAGGCTCTGGAGGTTGGCGGTAGGCAGGGAGAGAACGAGGCCCTGCTGGCCGCCCAGGTGTCCGCCTGCGTTGAAGGGGATGAGGATGGGCTGGTTCATGCCTGGCGCCGCCCCGGACATCACGCCGCCCACTGCGTTGGCCAGCTGCTGGGCCACCAGGAGGGACTACAGCAGACACACACAACAACACATGCATTATATAACAATATATAATCACAGAGTAAAGGACGGCCATTATAGCTATCCAATCACTTTCACTATTATATTAAGGAGTTTGATTTAAATCCATCTCGTAGCTAAATGGGACACATGGAAATACGTCCCATCACAAAAGCTAAAGACGCTCTAACCTCCTTTTCACGGTGACTTTAAATGTAAATAAAAAGTGTTGATTTGACTAAACATCTGATGTTAGAGAATGCATTGGATTTTAGTCAAATCTTTTTTTATTTAGATTGTACAATTAATACCATTAATGTAAAATATCTTATTACCAAACCAAACGCTGGACGATATTTTCCAATACCGTCATATATCCCAAAATGACAAATACATGAATAACGACATAAAATAATCAGTGTTCCACTGATTATGAAACCAAACTCTTCATATGTGTAGAAAACGTCCATAGCTGATTTTTGCTAAAAATCCTTAATTTACCATTTTGTAGAACAAACATGATAAAATTCCTCTGTAGCTGATAAATGATAACAATGAATTATCTGCCAGCATTACTTATGAGAGCTGCAGAATAATTGTTTTACAGTAGAAAAACAGGGAGTGAGGGCATCACATTTGATTGATATATATATATATATATATATATATATATATATATATATATACACACACTATTTTATATTCTGGGATGCATAATTGAGTCAAGTAACGCAGAAAAGCAGATGCCACCAAAGTGACTGTGTCACTAATCAATGTGTTTTGATGAATGCGGTTGTTTTGCCGATGATTTCTGTGCTTTGCTGTGTCACAGACTGACAGTCAAAACACACTGCCGTTGGTACAGGCACAGATGAAATCCAATCTTTGTGAAAGAGCTGAGAATTTGTCTTTCACAGAGATGCAGAGTGATTTATGTTTCCTCCCATTGAACAAATCCCTGGTACCACAGAAATGTGCCTGAAATACACGGTGCATTTTTCTAAAAAAACATAGCAGTGCTTTACCCTTTTGATGAGGGATACAACACATCACTCTCAGGTCTTCATGTATCCATTCATTCACATTAGGATTCGGTGCAGTCGTACCCATGGAGGAAAAGATATGTTATCAGAAGTATCGCTCCGAGATATTTTGCACAGTAGAAGATCTCTTCAAATGTATTTTCCAGAGGAAGTCGGTTTGGTAATACACCAACACATTTTTCATCGAGAGCTTTGAGCCAGAAGTGGTAATGTTTGTACCGAGGCGGAAATCTCCATGAATACACAGGGAATGACATCGTAAATTGTGTTCATTCTGATAAAACCTTTTTTCATATCATGTCAGCCTTTGAGCATGTCAAACTGAATTTACATTGGAGGTACGAGACAGGAGATGCTGAGGATGCGGCAAAATCCAACAAAATTACTGTTTAAGCGTTGAATTGAATTGTTTGGAATAAAATAATACACTGTCAGCTTGCATTGTGTCCACAGTAAAGCAGCCTTTTAGACGTTGCTAGGTGAGCCTGGCTGCACTGTGTTGACTCCTCCACTGTGACTTAAGTTCTCAAGCCTTTAACTCCAATTGTCAGCTATCTGCTTCTGTTTTGCATGGCGTGTCTGCAGCATGCACGGGAGGCAGAGCGGGCTGACTGGTGCGAAGACCCCACCGTACTCCCAAATCTGGTGCTCCTAGGTGACAGGCGTGTCACTGTGATAACCCTGCATGGTGCGGAACGCCTGCACCCACTCCGACATACATGCAATCACGTTTTTTTAGAGGTACGAGGTCGTGTGGGTTTAAAGCCAGAACGCACAGAGATCTCAGGGCGAAATATCTGCACTGAGAGACAAATGAATAGCTGTTTGTGTTTCTAAGCTGTTCAAAGAACAACACAAAGCGTAGAGAGGTGATTGTTGCTGGCAGGAGTAATCATACACACCATATAGGATTCCTCTTTCTCTACATTTGCTTTGATATCCAACACCAGCACATAACAAATGACAATATCTGACGCTTCTGAGAGCATTCAAAATGACATTTGCCATTAACTTTAAAAAATGAATTAATAATCCCAAAGAATCCTCAAAGGACGATAACAAAGGCTACCCGTTTGTTAGCTGCAAGTGACATATGTTTAATCTTTCGTTTTAGACTAAATTTAATCTTGAATCGAAGCAACATATAATCAAAGGCAGTCTTTGAACATTCATCTCTGAGTCAAACAAAATGAGACTGCCAGGCTTGACAGCAAAGACAGCCTCACATAGAAGAGAATAACATTAAAAGACAATTCTGCAATTATCAGATGTAGCCCTGACTTATTTATCATTACAGGCAGCTTTGGAGAAACAGGCCGCTGCAGAGAGACAGCAACTTTGGAGAATATTTTTAAAGCATGGAAAAGCTCTTAGTGTTTATGTTGTGCCACTTTAAGACTGATTATGATCTTCATTTGAGGTGAGAACACTGTATATATTACTACGAGAATCCCCAGCACCTCTCATCTAGATTACCAACAGCAGTTCACCGTCTGGCTTTTCGCCCGATACTCTCACTCTTCCTCTCCATAGGTGCTGTTGTACAGTGCTTGTCAGGCTGACGGCTGAGTGTCGAGAAGTGGTCTCCTAGGGGCCACACGGACGCACACACTGGGTGTGTGTTGGGCTCTGGATGGGGAAGCAGCCCCACTCAGGACTGGATGTGGTACCCAGCCTCTCTGCCCATCAGGGGAGAATAGGCCTTTCTATCTGCTTGGCAGCTCTGGCACTGAGAAATTGCCCATAATCACCCAGATAGCAGACTTTTGTCATCCTAACTGCGAGTGGGAAACAGAAGGAAGGTGGATTCATGTTGGGTAAACTACCATCGGATAATGGTTGTTCGAACAATATCCGGCTCTGGAGCGAGAATCTATCAAAACATATTGATCCTGGAACAAGAGAATTGTGTATGGCATGCGGAGCGCCTTTGTTTCTGAAAAGTGTTAGCTTCACAGAGACTGTACTGACAGCATTAATATATTAGATGGTGACGGTTGAGAGCCGCCTGCTGAGGCTCAGGCTGTAACTGCTTCCTGCTCGAGATGCCTTTTGTGCCTTTTGAGATCCTTTTGTGTTTATTTCTTATCTATTACAAAGACAGTGGCTTGGTCCAGCGAGGGTGTCTGTAATCAAAAAAACTGCTTTTAATTAAGCTCATTCTTCATTCCCACTTGCAGCAGATTGACTCTTTCACTGGGGATTTCTCACCCTACAAACCTGCCCAACGAAACCACTCTCCTTCTCTCATGTTTCCTCTTTTGTTTCTCCTGATGAGGACTGACTGGCATTGAGTAACACTGAGAGCAGGGAGAATGGCCTTATTAAAGAGGGTGGAGGGAACTGGACGCTTGTGTGTTGAGCGGTGACATTGAGCAACACTAATGAGATAGATGTTCATTAAACATCGCAGAGCCACCAGGCCAATAAATCCAATCAGATAGGACAAAGCCAGATTGAGCTATTAACGGGGCTGCAGGCTCGCGCTCTGTGCCTCCCTGCTTGTTTTGACAAGGCCTGTATCGTCAGCTCATTAGTGCCACGAGTCAATTACATTTGATGTGTGATGACAAAATACCTTTCACATCGTAGCTGAAAATGATTCACCGTTTAGCATTCAGTGAGTGTTTATTTTTTTGTTTCACTCACCAGACAGAATATAAAGTTGATTACTGCAACTGACAAACGCCTTAATCTTATTCTCATTATAGCTGTGAGTAAATATAACTCAATTAACAGAGCCGAGTTAGTCGTCAATTCTTTGAGTTGCTCTTAATATAATGAAGTTTGGCATCTTTGAGTCATTCATGCATGGAGGCAGAGAAATAAACTAGGAAGGAGCCCAACGAGGAGGACCGGGGACAATGTCGGAGCGCTCATCATCAAAAAGAAGAAACTCAAAGAAGAAACTCGAAGAAACTCAAAGCCCATCAGTTTGTCCAATTCTCACTGGAATTATACGTTTTGTACCTTTATGTCTGGTGTCACATGTGTCCTTTCTTCTGGACTTGAAACCTGATGAGGCTGTCAGCTCTCTGCTTTAGTCAGCTACATTTGTTGCAGTATATTTAGGAGTTTAGAAGTCAGTTAGAATAAAGGTGGAGTCACAGTGGGCGATCTAAATATTCAAAAACAATAAAAATACAATATGAAGAACTTGAAAGATTTGAATCAAAGTTTTCAGGGACCTTAAACAGACAATCACAATAGATATTTAGGGGATCACACAAGACACTGCTGCTGACAAGACTGGGTTCAAGAGCACAAACCGTTTGTCTAATATCTTATTATGTCAGTTTTATTGAATTACATTTCTGCAGATTTCTGTAAGCTTGATGAAAGGAGGCTAACTCAACTCTTATAGTTGAGTACAGGTGTCATAATACTTTTTGCAAACTTCTTAAATGCCTCAAGCAGGTGGTTGAAACCTGATGAGCAGCCTCATTATGTTTCCTCTTGGATATTTGTATTGGTTCTTATATTTAGTATTCACTTGTTCCTATTATTAAGCGTCCCAGCAAAAGCATTTCAAACGATTCTTCCTGTATAACCGGGAGGACAATAAAACACCTTGAATCAAAATGTTAGCTTACTCAAAGTTTTCACATTACCATTGATTAAACAGAGCATCTTAAGTTTGGGTTCGGTTTGTTGCAGAGATTGTCGCTCACCTGTGGACCCATGGGGAACCCTAGGTGGGACTGGCCCAGGTGACTCTGCTCAGGACTGCTGCTGGTGTCAGACTGGACCGAACCGTCACGAGCTCCTGGGAGAGCAACAGGCAGAGATCCATGTAGAAAGAAAAAAAGAGAATCCAGCTTAGATCAACATGGGCAATATAAGTAGATAAACACACAACACGGACCTCGTTGTGATATTACAACACGTTGTCGTGCGGCGCAGAGGAGGGCAGTTGGGAAAGGAGGGGAATTTGTGTTTAAGTGCTTTATCAATAACCGCTGTAGCGCTGAATAAATTACCAACCAGCGGAGAGGCTCATTGATGGGGGATGATGCATACTGGCGGGTCCCCGATGGCCTGGATTACCGCTGAGAGATAGAGCTCCACCACAAATGCCGGGGCCATATTATTCAGCCATTTACATCAGCGAGTATCACTCATCTAAACCCACTCTCCCCACCCTCCGCTCTGGGCCTGCAGCTACGAGACACAATTAGACCTGTTTGCTACGAGGGCAGAGTGGAGTGGAGCAGACAGGGACATGATAATAAGCTTGCTGATGGCTGCAGGGAAAACAAAGGACACCACCGATTGGATATCGTAGCAATCGCTATCGCACAGAATCTCTCAGCGGTGCACAGAGTGTGGATCGCTGTAGAAGGTCAGAGGCTGCTTCGACCCTCACCCTTTGACCCCGACGAGGCCTCACTGTTGACACAGAGGCTCGCTGAGTGCAAAGACGAGTCAATGTTGCAGAAAGAACTGTCAGAAAAATTAAATGTCTCTTAGATGTATTTCAGCAAACTGACTGTCCAGAAGAGAAATACAAAAAAATGACTTTATTTAATTTTCTGTGAGTATTCGTTTAAAAGGAGAACCTAATGTAAAGAGTGTTTAGATCTTTCTAAAGCTAGAATGTGCTGAAAACCTGAACCTTATGTCTTATGAACCTTGACAACCATTGAACACCGGTATAAACAAAGAAACAACAGAAACATTCAGGAGGACTTTCTGAAAGATGTTCAGCGGATGAATGTCTTTTGTAATAAGTTGGTGAAGGTGATGCAATGAAACTATGTGCTATTATAAACAAGGACTCCTGTTCCTTTACCGACAGGCTGTCAATAAAGTGGATAACCTCTTCCCACTGATTCAGGTGTGCCACTTCAGGCCTTCTATTGATGCCAGCTGCTATATTTTATTAGCCTTAACCTGGGTGAACACGGCTGTCCTTCAAGCAATTATCCAAATGATAGAGCAGTTTCTTTGGGCATATCTTTATTAATTATTTGTCCTTTGTGGTTGTCCAGTACTCTGACTTCTTCCTTAGCCTTTCTGCTCGGATCGAGTTTTGAATTTAAAGGCACACCTTTTTTGTCTGCTGAAAACAGGATGAATAGTTTTGTTTCTTGTGAAGCACAGAGTGCATGCAGGGGTTTGTAGTCCTTCTCTAAAAGCTTCATACCGAGCAGACTATTGGATAGCGTTGCCAGAACGATCTCATTGCCTGTCATGTTTATTTATGCATTACATTTTTAACTCCCCGCCGCCAAATAAAATCATTTCATCTTTACATAAAATCCAAATAATTGGTGAGTGGCATGACCGAACAAACCTCCAGCGCTTGATGGCTGATGTGAAAGCCCAAGGGGGGGCGGGGGGCGGGGGGGGCTGCTTTATGAGCTGGTTCCTACCTCTGGCTGGCTGGCCCTGCTCCTCGATGGAGGTCCACATCCTCTCGCTTATCAACCTCGCAACGCACTGCATATTTTGACAAGCCAGTCTCTTTTCACCAATTATTTCACCCATTATGGATCACGTTGTGTGCAGCCCCACCCTGTGCACTCGGTATCTGGAATTAAGATCAATCTGAGCAAACAGGAGAGACTTTGTGGCCGTATTAGAGTCAATATAAAGTGACAGATAGAGCACAATGTCATCATAAACCGCTGTATAATTTCACATTTATTTTGGAGGGTGAATATTATGAGGCCATATTATTTTTTGACTGGATTCCATTAGCGGTATTGTCTCCAAGCAGTTAATTCCCACTTTGGTTGTTTAAATTAAAGTGATGCCTCTCAACTTTCGCACCACCTCAAAGACAATTCTCCAAATGCTGCTGACACACTGTTCTTGTGTGCCGGGGAATTTTCTATTTAGCATCATAACAAAGCCAATTTGCTAAATGAAGATATTCAGCTATAATGAAGGAATGAGACTTTATAAGATCATCGACAGGCTCCAGACAGTACGGCTCATGACTGTAGTTAAGATATTGGTTGTGAATAATGTATTCTATCTGATAAGCAGTGTGGGGGACTTACTGAATAACGATTCTTTGATGCCTTCATTTCACAATAACTTAGAAAGCTTCATCCCCTTGCAAATATCTGTAACTTTAACACGTTTATCGCAGGGGGGAAAAATCGATAATAAATAAATAAATACACATGCACATCTTTCCCCCAAAGGATTTGTGTAATTTCTTTAACTAAATTAAATAGCTGACAGGAGAAAGGCCCAGGGAGTCGGTCTTCAATTCTTCTTTATTGCTAGAATCTTTGTACATGTTTTGCTTTTCTTTAAAAAAAAATAAAAAATCTGCTTATCCAATGTGAATGATTCTTAAATGGATTTCCAGATTGAGATTAATACTATATACGGGGGGGGGGGGGGGGGACAATATCTCGATCAAACCTTTACTAAGAAGAAAGTCCTTTGATGGCGTGATACGCAGGTTACACAATGCGTAAAATGAAATGAATGGATGTATTGATGTGAGGAGAGATGAAAGAAGAGGCCAAACGGAGGAAAGACCAGGCGATGCACAATCCACATAGCTTTACATTTATCTAGGACATTCATGCTTGATCTTCCTGAGCAGCGTCACTACCGTTACAGTAAAAGTACCCTTAAATCAAAACTCTTAAATTTACAGGTATTCAAGTTTTTCCCGGCCTTGACTGAAAGAAAGAGAAGTAATTAAATTACATGAATCAAGTCTTAACAATTCCAAACTCGTGCCGACAGCGACGTGAGGATATTTTCATTGAAAATGCTTTTGTATGTAAGTGAAATAATTATATTTATTACAGGGCACAGAGTGCAATTTGATGCGGCTTATGTCATGGAAATATTGCCAATATCCACCGCGAAATAAATTCTCTTTCATTGATCACTAAAGTGGCCACTGGAGAGCGACTTTCAAAGCCACACAAGGCAGAAGGTCTCTCTCTCTGTGTGTGTGTGTGTGTGTGTGTGTGTGTGTGTGTGTGTGTGTGTGTGTGTCGGGCCGTGGGGGGGGGGGGGCAAAGAGACATATTTATTTGACTCGGTTCAACCTGTCTTAATGCAGGGTGCCCCAAGGACTACACCACAAAACAATTAGCCTGGATTTCATAAAGCAATCAGCATGCCACCTCGTCTAATGCAACCGCTTCATACATTGACAGTCTGAATAAAATGGGTGTTATTGAAAGCTTTGTGTTCGTGTTAGCTTTCGCCTCAAAGCATTCATGAATCAATTCTTGCCCATAAAAGAAGCTTTAACACTTAAGCTATTTTAGTGGAAATGCATTATGTAAGTTGTCAAATGTACAAGAGAGGCCTGGTAACGATTCAGGCTATTCACAATGAACAGCCAACCCCCATTTTTATAATGGTCCTTTTGAAAATGTCTGGCTGAGTGCATTTGTTTGCTATTAAGATGGTGTCAATCATTTGTGCCACTGAAATCTAATCCATAGAAAATAATTTCACATGTGAACACATTCAAAAAGACCGAAGATTATAAGAGGATTACATTAGTAATTGTTATAATACATTGAATTATTGAAGTAGAGATAATTATTATAGCACACAAATATGCAAAACACCACGATGATTTTTGTCATGTGTGCTGTTGATTCAGAGCGTTTGTGAGCGGTTGAAGCGTAACGGATGGGCCGAGATAAACAAGCCACATCATACACGAGCGTTAATTCCGTCAATACGCAACCAATTGTCCGAGATTGCTTGACCATTGATTTTGCTAATACCACTTTGAAAGTTGATGTTGCATTGCAAAGGCAGTCGAGAGAGAATGAAATGTAGAGCGACAGCTCATTTCACTTCCACTTTTCTATCTAAAGCAGCCTGGAATAAAGTCCAGAAAGCATTGTTACACACAAGGCACGGTGCCGTGTGGAGGAGAGCAGCCTACAACATGCAGTGTCGGTTTCATAGTGATTTACTTAACTCCTTGTAGAATGCAAGAGGGCCAAAAATCATCAGTGATTTAGCTCAGTGTTTCATTACTCCCACCAAAGCCCTCAACAATAACACAGGGCATAATCTGCTGCCAATAACTCCAGGTGCTCTTAGTCAGATGGCTCCCTCCGGACCGGCAGGGAAGTAATACTCTGTTTAGAGGCTGGGGTGGAGAAGCTGCAGAGGACAGGTCAATAGTGTTTCTGGGGATAGAAAATCACCAGAGACGGACTTGTGAGTGGCTGCCTGTAACACTATTAGCTACATTATGGCTACTGCTGCTGCTAGAAGAGCTGTCATTTCCTTAATTAAGAGCTCAGCGAAGGGCAAGAGGGAGAAGAGGCCACGCCACCGTTTCTGGGCCTCTAACATTAAAGCAAGATTCCTCGTCGCGCAAGGGCGGAGATCTCACACGGGAGGAAAAAAAATCTATCTCATTCATTATTCTGGCACAAAGTGGAATTATGGAGTTAAGGAATTACATCAGAGGTGGTGCCGTGGAGTGTGCCGAACAGAAAGAATTTTACACCTCAGCAGTTCTGTGACTTTTTCTGAGCCACAAGCAGCGGAGGGAAGACTCAGAGGACAGAGGAAGCAGAGAGGAAATGGATGCGACGGTGTAATAGATGTCTCCACTGGCTGGAGGTTTTGATTGTAAACCAAAGAATATAGTACACTTCAGTTTGTGGATGAATCTGCATGCAAACGATGCTTTAAAGCAGTGAGGACTCCAACACTTATGCTCTCACTCGTGGCCACAGGTCTTTACCGAAAGGCTCTTTGACATGAGAGTGCTCTGCTCCAGCTCTTACCTGTCTCTCCCTTGATGCTGGA